TAAGCAGAACAAGGCTGAAGATGCAGCCAAGCTGTTCGATGAAATGCCACAGTGGGGGATGCAGACCCGATATTGTCCCATGTAGAACTCTTATCAAAGGGCCGTGTAAAAATGGGAATGTGAGCTTGGCGATCGAGTTTATTGACAAGATGAAGATACAAGGAAAAGTTGAGCCTAATGCAGTCACCTACACCACAATCATCGATGCACTTTGCAAACAAGGGGCGATGGATAATGCTACCAAGATTTATGACGAGATGATTTTTCTAGGAACCGCTCCCGATGTTGTCACCTACAGCAAAATCATTGATGCCCTTTGCGAACAAGGGGCGATGGATAATGCTTCCAAGATTTATGAGGAGATGATTTCTTCAGGAATTGCACCCAATATTGTCATCTACAGCACAATCGTTGATGCCCTTTGCAAACAAGGGGTGATGGAGAATGCTATCATGATTTACGAGCAAATGATTGACGCCGAAATTGCTCAAAATATTTGTCATCTATACTTGCATTATGCATGGCCATTCTATTCGAGGACAATAGAAAGAAGCCATGAGAGTCGTCAACCTGACGAAATCACATATTCAATTGTGATAAACTCTTATTGTAAATCTGAGAGGGTCAGCAAGGCTTTAAAGCTCTTAGAGGAGATGCCTAAAAAGGTACTGAAGCGGACGAATAGTGCCTGTGTCACATGCTCACAGGGTTGAGTTGAGTTGGAAGAGTCAGTGATGCAAGGAAATTTCACAAATGACAAGGTAACTCTAGATATCAGTACATGCCATGTAATCTTGGATGGCTTGTGTGAAAATAACTGCATCGATGAAGGAGGAAATCTATTTCATAGCGTGCTAAATCAGAAGTATATTACTGATGTCAAAACCTGTTGGATATTATTAGTTTTTAAACAAAGAGTCAAAAGTAAAAATTGGGCAAGTTAGGCAAATGAAGAAATAATTTATAACATGTGCTTAATTTTTGTGTTTTTCAAAGGGAGGTGCCAAACTTCTTTGAAATTAAATAAAGTGGTGGGCCTCACTGAAGAAAAATTAGGACATAGGTCCCACTTGCATAGTAAAATAATATTATTTATTAGTGCATAATGTTTTCCCAAACGCTATAAATAGACCCCAAATCCTTAAGAAAAATTCATTCAAAAAACAACAATCAATATATACAGATATATAAGTTATAAAATAGCTGGTGCTTATAGGAACTTTGCATTGACCGAAAGGCCTGATAGATCTAGGAGATCTTTGCTTTATAGATTGAGGAGATCTTTGTCCTATAGATCGAGAAGATCTTGATAGTACTGGGTCGGTACACATCAGAGTACTGTACTGTACTGCTGTTCCTGAAAGCAATTTGGTCTTGGGATCCATGCACCAGAATATGCTAAATATTATTTTAAGCACGATGTTTTACAAACGCACAGCAACTGAGTTGGAAAATTTTAAATTACTGTACTTTAGATTTTTTTTTTCTAGTTTTCATTGCTTTATATTTGTATTATTTCAGACTGTATTGTTCTAGATTTAGCCACAGACACCAAAACAATCTTAAAGCAATATTCTCTCACAAGTTTTTTAACTAGTGTAATGTAACGGTGTCGTCGTTTCAATCGTTGTGCATAAGGTAGATGTCGTAAGGACTTGACTCCCCCTTAGACCAACTGAATAAAAGATAAGTGCATGATGTCGCAGAGACTTGAACCAGTACATATCTAAAAATTCAGCGATCACACAAGATCAAACTTATCTGTGGTGGTTTTCACTTTGAACCACACTTGCCTTTGCCTTTGCCTTTGCTTTTGCTTTGCACATTTATGGTCATGTGCATGTCCTGGTTTCTGCTAGGGTTCTTGGTATCTTTCCACAAGACACCATAGGAGTCGGTCAAATCTCCACCCATGCATGCATAGGTGAGTTTTTTAGGCATGTTTCCTATCAAACATCCCGCATCCGAAATGCTTTGAACTCATTATGGTTTAAGAGTCATCCTTTCTCATGATAAGATTCTAGATGAGTCCTTTAGGTGTGTTTCCTATCTAACACCCCGCATTCGAAATGCTTTGGACTCATTAAGACTTAATAGTCATTCCCTTTACATGATAGGATCATTGGTGAATCCTTTAGGCATATTACCTATTCAACAGCCCGTATCTGAAATGCTTTCGATTCATTAATGCTTAACATCCATTCTCTTTACAATGATAGGATTTTACTTGTAAATTTTACTTGATTTTTGAACCAAACATCTTGCCATTAGTAGCGTAAGTATTGAACTAATAACTTGATGTAAATGATAAGTATTTGTAAGACTCACCAAACTTTTGTAAATTTTACTTGCCTTTTGAACCAATTATCTTATTAGTAGTAGCATAAGCTTTGAACTAATAAATAGAAGTACATTATAAGTATTTGTAAGACTTACAAAGCTTTGAGACCCATTCCAGCAGACGTTCTTTCGACTGTTCTTTTTCAGACCTTTAGTCAAAGGATCAATCACATTCTCTGAAGACCGGACGTCAATCACAGAGAAGACTCCTTGATAAATAAACTCTCTCAAATAGCCATGCTTCAGACGAATAGTCTGTTTTTTCCATTAAACATCGAGTTTGCTGTCACAACACTCGCCGCCTGATTATCACAATAGATAGTAATTGCGTCTTGTAATTTTGTTAATAGAAGGTCTCGGAGAAAATAATTGAGCCACTCAGCTTCATCTCCTGCAGCACAGAGTGCGAAGAACTCAGATTTCATCGATGACTGTGCAATCATAGTCTGCTTCTTAGACTTCCACGAGACTACAGATCCACCCATGGTGAAGACAACCTCCAGTAGACCTGCACTCATCTGGTTCTGAGTACCAGCTCGCATCTGAATAACATTCGATTACAGTCAGATATCCAGTATAGAATAGACTCATACCTGTAGTTGCTTTTAAGTATCTCATTAATCTCTAGACAGTATCCCAATGAAGCTTTTCAGGATTATTTGTGAACCTACTAAACATTCCTACAGCGAATGCTATGTCTGGTCTCGTGCAGCTCATGGCGTACATAAGACTCTCAATGATTTTTGCGTACCTTAGCTGCTCTATTGGTCTTTCACTATTGGTCTTCCAGCGTTCGGTCGAAACTCCTTATTGTAATCATATGGCACTGACAGTTCTGGCAGGTCATTGTAGCAATACTTTCTTAACATGTTATTAACATAATGAGATCGAGACAATCCAATACCCTCTTCAGAGTATATGATTTTGATTCTGAGAATCACATCCGCAGTTCCAAGATCCTTCATGTTGAATGTGCTGATAGAATTTTTTTGGTAGATGTTACTATCTCCAAATTACTCCCGATGATGAGCATATCATCCACATAGAGGCAAATGACCACTACCTTTCCTTCAGCGACCTTGATGTATAGGCACTTGTCAGATTCACTGACTTGGTACCCATTGTTACGAACAAGTGAACAACGTCGTCGAACTTCTCATGCCAGAGTTTCGGTGCCTGCTTAAGTCCATATAAAGACTTAACAAGTTTATAACCTTACCAGTTGGAGCATCAAATCCTTCTGGTTTCTCCATGCAGATTTCTTTTGTGAGATCTTCATTGAGAAATATAGTCTTCACATCCATTTGATGTATGACAATTTTTTTTATCGCCGTCCATGCGATAAGCGCTCTGATGATAGTGATCCTACAAACTGGTGCATAGATATCAAAGAAATCTATACATTCTTTCTGAGGGAATCCTTTCGCCACCAGTCTTGCTTTGTACTTCTCAATAGTACCATCAGGACGAAGCTTCTTAAAAATCCACTTGTAATTTATAGGCCTTGTTACTTCAGGTACATCCACCAGCTCCAAAATATGATTTTGGATCAGTAAATCCATCTCATCATCTATAGCTTCTTTCCACAGAAGAATATCTGTTGACTTCATTGCTTCTTGAAAAGTCTGTGGATCTCCTT